GGTTGTAGTTTCCCTCCTTGTGTTGGCATTTTCCATCAATTATCCTTTGAAGTGCTGGGTTTGTGGGAAGATATTGTGCAAATTTGGTTTTGTCATGGAATATCTTGGTTTCACCATCTATAGTGATTGAGAGTTTTGCTGGGTATAGTAATCTGGGCTGGCAATTGTGTTCTCTTAGTGTCTGTATGATGTCAGTCCAGGCTCTTCTGGCTTTTATAGTCTCTGGTGAGAAGTCTGGTGTAATTCTTATAGGTCTGCCTTTATATGTTACTTGACCTTTTTCCCTTACTGCTTTTAGTATTTTTTCTTTGTTTTGTGCATCTGATGTTTTGATTATTATGTGACGGGAGGTATTTCTTTTCTGGTCTAGTCTATTTGGTGTTCTGTAGGCTTCTTGTATGTTTATGGGCATCTTGTTCTTTAGGTTAGGGAAGTTTTCCTCAATAATTTTGTTGAAGATATTTACTGGCCCTTTAAGTTGGGAATCTTCATTCTCATCTATACCTATTATCCTTAGGTTTGGTCTTCTCATTGTGTCCTGGATTTCCTGGATGTTTTGAGTTAGGAGTTTTTTGCATTTTGCATTTTCTTTGACAACTGTGTCAATATTTTCCACCGTATCTTCTGCATTTGAGATTCTCTCTTCTATCTCTTGTATTCGGTTGGTGATGCTTGCGTCTGTGACTCCTGATCTCTTTCTTAGGTTTTCTATCTCCATGGTTGTCTCCCTTTGAACTTTCTTTATTGTTTCTATTTCTAGTTTCAGATCCTGAATGTTTTTGTTTAATTCCTTCTTTGTGTTTTCTTCCATTTCTTTAAGGGATTTCTGTGATTCCTCTTTAAGGCCTTCTATCTGTTTACTTGTACTCTCCTGTATTTCTTTAAGGGAGTTACTTAATTCCTTCTTATAATCCTCTATCATCATCATGAGAAGTGATTTTAATTCTGAATCCTGCTTTTCAGGTGTGATGGGGTGTTCAGGGCTTGCTATATTGGGAGAATTGGGCACTGATGATGCCAAGAAACTTTGGTTTCCGTTGCTTATGTTCTTGCGCTTGCCTTTCGCCATCTGGTTAACTCTAGTGGTACCTGCCCTCACTGTGTAAAACTGGAGTCTGTATTTCCAGTTATCTTGCTTATTGCAGAGCTCCTCAGAGTCCAGAGGTCTCTGTGGTCTTATGCTCCTAATCTCCTGGGTGGAATAACTCCTGGGACTCAGGCCACCTCTTGGATCTGGAAATCCTTCTGCTCTGAGTGCAGTGGGTCCTCGATGACTCAGGATTCAGTTTCAGCTGCTCTGAGTGCAGTGGCTCCAGCTGCTCTGAGTGCAGTGGCTCCTGGATGACTCAGGATTCAGTT